GGGTGTTTGCCTTGCACGCGGCTGACCGGAGTCCGATTCCCAGCATCCCATATATGGTCCCCTGAATATCACCAGGAGTGATTCCTGAGTGCATGAGCCAGGAGTAAACCCTGTGCATCGCTGAGTGTGACCCAAAAAGAAAAAAAAAACCCTGAATGTATAAACCTTATCCTAAAAGAACTAAAAGTACAAAGGGCCTTCCAACCATCATTTTTAAAAAATGATCCCTTCTCTATTCCAGCTGCCTTCTTCCTTCATTCATGAGGCAGGCCTCCAGCTATGGAGCAATCTTCCTGGCCCTTGTGTCTACTGTCGCTGGGTGTCAGTCTCGTAATATTTTACTCTCCACAAATGAGTGCGGTCCTTCTATCTCTGTCCCTCTCTTTCTGACTCATTTCACTTAGCATGATACTCCCCATGTCTATCCATTTATAAGCAAACTTCATGACTTCATCTCTCCTAACAGCTGGCAACTGGAATAGAGAAGAGATCACTAAGAAAATTATGGATGGAGGGATTGGTCGGGAAAGGAGATGTGTGCTGAAAGTAGATAAAGGACCAAACGTGATGGCCGCTCAGAATCTGTATTGCAAACCATAATGCCCAAAAGTAGAGAGAGAGTATGGGGGAAATTGTCTGCCAGGAAGGCAGGGGGAGGGCAGGAAAGGGGGAATATACTGGGGATATTGGTGGTGGGGAATGTGCACTGGTGGAGGGATGGGTGTCTGAACATTATATGATTGTAACTCAAGCATGAAAGCTTATAACTCTATCTCATAGTGATTCAATTTTTTAAAAAATAGCACAAAGGGATGTGCGAGGAGCTACAATTGGCAAAGTGAGGTAGGTGTGACTTCAACTATCCCAAAGTTTCCAGAAAGAATCAAAAGTCTGATAAGAGCTAAGAGACAACCAGCAGACAAGGGTCAAGAAACAGTATACTGAAAAGATTACCAGTTCTGCAAGTAAGCAGACCAGATATGGAGCACTACTTGTTTTCCTGTGGCAGTTGCAACAAGAAAAATGCAGGACAGAGGACACCATGGTGGGTGGCAAAGCGGTCACCAGGGTGGAGGAGCTGGTTTCAGTGGTATAGCAGGTCACTGACTTCACAAAGCGGTTTTGCTACTAGTCAGATACTGAGAAGCAATGGAAAACCCACATAGAATTTATTGTATGCCACCTTGACGACTAATATGATTCCCTAACGGTGGAGGCTACCTGGACCATGTGCTCTCCCTCTCCATAATCTGGGCCAGTCACCTCTCTCTGGGTTGCAGTTACAATAAAGGTTTTATTAACAAGGTGATGGAGATGGCTGATGGAATTGAAGTGGAAGATCTGCCACAGTTTACTACCCAGAGTGAATTAATAAAAAAAGCATTAAAGCTAAAGCAGAAGATTCTTCACATTTCCGTCATGAGCTTGAGGCTTCCAAAGGAGGCTGGGATGAATGTGACATCGACCACTCTGGCTCTCTTAATACTCCTGGTGTTACCAGCATGTAGGAAAGAATAATTGGAATGAAAAGGAATCTTGCTTAAATCAGCACTTTAAAAGTTCTCATTCTTTCAGTAGCCATCATTAAGCAAGCATGTGTGGATATTTATTTATAAATCATGCCTTCAGTTTACACATTTAACTTTGTGCTATAAATGTCCTGTTTTTATTTCAAATGTTTATGTAATAATGGTAGCTAATGAATTTTCTAACTTGTCTTTTTCAACCATAAAGATATCCAGCCCCAAATGCTTTATTTACCCTGGATTAATATCCATCCCACAGAGAGGTCCATTTGTTTCCTTTCCTTGACCCTGACACCACCACCTCACCGCCCAGAACAGGACATAAAGAAGTGATACATTGTGACTTACGAGGCTATGTCAAAAAGAAGACAGAGTGTTAACCTGGCCACACTCTCCTCCCATTTCTCTCCTAGTACCCTTGGCTTTTGGATTCTAGTCATTGTGTCAGCTAGCAAGCCTAACCCAAGCATACCTGACAGCCAAAGCCCAAATCTTCAGATGGTTCCATCTCTCATTCTTTAAATTTTCCTGTCCAGAGTTCCTGAACCACAAAAACCAGGAAATGTAATACTTCTGGTTTTAAGTCACTATTTTAGAGTAAACCTTATATAACAATAGATAATACTGGCCACTTTAATGCTGGCTCTCTGTATTAGTTATGTCTAAGTCTTTCCTAAGCCCAATCTCTTTGTCAGAAGTATGTATAAAATGTTCATATTATGAACATATCAGAGCATTCACTATGAGATGCTCAGCACTCCTGTTTGTTGTCCTCTTAAGTTCTCATTTACTTCACCTATTGTTTTATCTTTGCATTCTAAAAATATACATCCCATGAAATTCCATCTTGTTCACTACTCTACTTCTAGTGTCTGACACAATTTTCTGAAAGCTGGTTGACTGAAAAGACTGCATAATTAAGAGTACAAAAGTGCTCACAAAAAATGCTCTATTAATCTAACATAGGAGGAAGAGGTGGTCAGGGAAGAGCTGGCTGACTGAAGTCCATCAGGATGTCTAAATTTCAAGTTATCCAGATTTAGAATTATGTGAAACTAAAGGTAAATCCCATAGTGACAGACATTAGATGCCAAGGGAGCAACTCTTCTCAGAACTGCTGAGTGGCACCGTCATTGGGCTTGGTTCCTGTGATCCAGCTAGCAAAAATTATCTGAATTTTAAGTTATAGAGATAGTACAGAGGGTAGGGTGCTTGCTTTGTACAAAACTGACCCAGGTTCAGTATCTGGCACCCCATACTGTCCCCTGAGCACTGCCGGGAGTCACTCCTGAACACAGAGTCAGGAATAAACTATGAGCACTGCCAGGTGTGGCCCAAAAACAAACAAACAAATATTTTTTAATCTAAAAAAAATGTTAAGTATGGCTTATCCTTAGCCACAGCAGAATTTCTAATCTTGTTATAACTTATTTCTCACCTAAATGTGCATAAAGGTTGCTGTGGTAATTCTGGTTTTATCTTTCCTTTTTTTTTTTGGTTCTTGTTTTTGGGGTCACATCCAATTGTGCTCAGGGGACACTCCTAGTGATCATCAGGAACTATAGATTTGTAGATGATTCAACATGCACCAATAGAATCCAGGCCTCCTGCAGGCAAAGCATGTGCTCCAGTCTGTTGAATAATCAATCATGCCAGTCCCAGTAATGCTGGTCTTTTAGGTTCAACTATGTGTGTGTGTGTGTGTGTGTGTGTGTGTGTGTGTGTGTGTGCGCGCGCGTGCGTGCGTGTGCATGCACATATATTCTTGAAATCAACTGCTCATTTTCCACAAGTTTGCCTACTCCACAGACTTCTTTACCTGTCTGTGTGAATATTCTACTGTGGGAGAAGAGAAATTCAAATTAAGTCCAAGTGACCCAAAACAGATAATCATAATAGCACAATTTTAAATGACTACTGATTTAATCTACTCATGCTCTCAAAACAGCTTTTTTTAAAAAATAAATTAGCTCTTATGGGCTAGAATTATAGCACAACAAGGAAAGCACATAGCCATCCCAAGTTGACCCCCAGTACTCTATAAGGTCCCCCAAGCCTGCCAAGGAGGGTAGAGCCAGGAGAAACCCAAAGCATTGCCAGTGTGACCCAAAAGCCAAAAAGAAAAAGAAAAAAATGAGCAAAGTAACACTGTTCACTGGTTTATTGAGCTTTAGAGAGATTCTTTCCCAAGAGACACTACAGTATGGAAGGTATGCCCTCTGGTCCTGTTGATCCATTCTTCTATCCCAGTTGTCCTGGTGCCTTCCTTTGATCTGGATTCTCACCAAGTGTCCACCGGAAGCAGTTCCCCATACCAGTTTCCATTTCTTCCCTATTAATTTTCCCCCAAAGACACAAAACTAAAGGAGTAAATCTTGGGAGAAGATGATAGTGAGTAGATTGAAGGTGAAACAAAGGCAAGTTCTACCAGAAATGAAGTGTGACAAGAGGTGGGTGTCACTGTCCCATCAATATGAATGAGGAGAAGTACATAATAATATGTAGGATGGAAGCTTAAGACTACCGAAAGAATACACTGAGTTTAGGTGCAAAGGGAAAATGAGAATGTTCTATATCTTTACCATAAGGGCACACAGAGAAAAATGCATGGATAAAAGTGCAATGTCCAGGCGCGTATACTGCCCAACCCCATATGCTGCTTTGTGCCCAAGTGGCCGAGCACATGTGGCGCCTGAGCACATGTGTTGCCCACTTCTCCCCTCTTGAGATTTTGTACTTTCATGCCTAATGCTAGGATGTGTAGGAGCTCTCTCCACCTTTGGAGAAGCCTACATTCTCACTTGAGTGTTACTCTACTCTCTCACGTTCCCTTTCTCCTTCCCTTTCTAAAACCCTCCAAATAAAATCTGCCTTTACTTTAAAAAAAAAAGTGTAATGTACAATTAGGGAAGACATGACTCAGTCTATTAGATAAATGGTATGAGCTTAGTAAAATACATAAATGCACACTCATGACAAGGAGAGAGGTACCTCTGAGTAAAGGAAATACAAAGTAACACACGAAACTACAGGAAGGGGCTACAAAGCGCATGTGTGGAAAGCATGACATGCACATGAGTATGTACAGAGAGAACAAGCAGGGGAGGGACACAAGTGATGGGAAATGTAAGCATACACAGCAAAGGCAAGGAGCATGAAAACGTTAACAAGATGAATGAGTACTCCCAAAGAAACAAAGTTTAAGGGGACAAAACTTGAGGGTAAATAGAATGGAAGATTATGATGATCAGGGAAATCAAGAAACTCTTTTTAGAAAACAAAGAACACTTTGGGGAGATCCTGGCTGGATGAAAACAGAGCACAAAGGCAAAGGAAACTGCAGCAACAAGGCAGAGGCTCATAAGAGACACAGAGAGAGGGACACTGAGGAGACAGGGAGAAGCTTCAAATGTGGGACAGACTAAACATTAAGTCATAATATAAATTATATAAACAAGAGAAAATGGGTTTCTCTGCCAGTGGACTGGAAACCCAGATAGCCCTAGGACTCACAGTGAGGCACATATTTACAAGAGATAGAATGTGATATGTTCTTTCCATCTGGGGGTAAAGATTCTTCTTGCTCCCTACTCTCGCCTTTTCCCTCCCCACTTCCGATTCTTCTTGTTCCCTGCTCTCCTCTTGTCCCTCCCCACTTCCCCCCTGCTGGCTGTACTCCTCACATACCCCCCTTACTTGTAAAGCAAATGGACTCTACTGCCATCACAGCTAAGCCGGTCAGGGGGTTCAGGAGGCCCCCTGGAAAGGCCCCCAGAGGAGTCAGGGGGTGTGGAAGGGTGGCGGCGTGAACGGAGCTGCTGTCGTGACTGGAGCTGATGGCGCAGTTCTGAGACACGTTCCTCTTTCTGGAAAACAAAAAGAAAAGTGGATAAAAAGGAAATCGTGAAGTGGCGGAGAGGAGGGACTGCAAAGAACAGCAGAGAAAAAAACTGGAGTGCTAATGGTAATAGATGAACAAATAAATTAAAATGAGTAATCGGGGGGCGGTGGGGGGAGAAGGAAAGTCAAAAGAACACAGTGAAGGCGGCAGTTGGAAAGAGATTAGGGAAAATGGAGAATAGAGAAAGAGAAGTCAGGACATAGAGCTTTCAATAACTCATACACAGATTTGTATCAGCCCCGTTTGAATAACCCCACTCTGATATTCCACGAGTCCCTAATGCTAGTATGGGAGGTAGAGATAGTGTGACTACCTTCCCAGATCCTCTTCACTAGCTCAACACCTTACCTCTGGGGGTCAACAGTGAAGTTAATGCTCCAGAGCCCCCTCCCATCTGATGAGGTCAGCAATTTTACCTGAGACAGAACCTTTGCTCAACTGTGTCCTCCCCAACAGGTTTTCTTCTGAGACCCTCAATAGATCACACACACCAGAACTTTTGTCTCAAACTCCGCTACAGAAAACCCAACCTGAGACATGGGCTTCTTAAGTTCTGCCACCCTCTGCTGCCATCACCACACACCTCAGCAATGATCTTCTCCAGTTCACGGTTCTCCTTTTCCAACAGCCGGGACTTCTCTTCTTCATTATTATTGGTAGATGATCCTGTCTTCATGGTGTCTTGTGCCTCCGACTGCCATTCTCCTCGAGTGATCAGTCTACGCATCTAGGAACAAATGTTTAGGGCATGAGAGGCTGAGAGGTCAATGATTAGCTGAGGGCAAGGGAAGAAGAGTTGAGAAGTCAAAAATAAAAACAAGACATGCTGGGTCCCAAACAAGGGAAAAAATGGTAGGACAGGTAAGGTAAAACAAGGAGTCACATCCTGGGGATAAGGGAGGGAGGGCATAATTGGAAGAAGAGGCAGGCTAACACTGAAACCTCACCTTGGGCACGAAGAGCACAACCAGAGTAATATAAGAGGAGAAAACTATGGCTAGGGAGGCGAAGGCAAAGGCTGCATCCTGCTGACTGGATAGGATCATGGTGACAGGGGCAGTGATGAGGCACAGGACCTGGGGGCAGAGTATGTTTGGGAAGTCTCAACCTTGTCTTCAGAGAACATCCAGAGTTCCCCTCCCCAGAAAACCGGCATATAAGGACAACTGTCTAACAAATTTCCCACTTGAAAATAGTTTATACTTGGGAGCATCCTCAATTCTAGATTGAGAAGAATCCCACATAAACTCTCCCAAACCAGTTCTTGTCAGCACGCCTTCAAAGTAGTAGAGAGATCATGTGGGAGCTCCCACGATCTCTCTACATACATTCAAGATCTCAAAAGTCAGGTATTCTTGATTCTGACTTCAGTCTGTGAAACAGAGGCAAGCAGTTGAACCCCTCTTTCTTGCATATCTACATGGGGAGACTAATATCAACTTCACTGAGTGAATGTGTGAAGACAGTAAGATAGTGTCTGCAACATGCTTTATCAACTATAAGTGTTCCACAAATATGAGGCATTAAAATACTTTTTAAAAACTTCTACTAAACTAAGCCCAGACCTAGTACCCAATTCTTTCCAGGCCACCCAATATGATTGTGGTTAGTCCCTGGGGTGGAGACCAAGTGCCCAGGAAACTCACCGCTACATTGTAGATGGCCATGCCAACAGCCCGGTGATCATTGATTTTCTCAGTGGAAACACTCTTGGTTTCATAAGCAAGAAAGATGCCCAGTAGCAGAAGCAGACCCTTGTAACCATAGAAAATGCCTAGAATGGCAGGGAAGAGTCACCCAGGCAACAAGACCTCCATATTCCCATTCATTTTCCCTCCTCTCTATGTTTTTCACCTAGAAGAAGCTATGTGTCTTGTAGCTCCATAATGGAAACTGGTTTCCAATTCAACCATTCATTTGTTTATTGAGAGGGGCTTTGGACTACTGCTAATGGTGCTCAGGGGCTATTCCTGGCTCTCTGTTCAAAAGTGACCCCTGATAGTATTTGGAAGACCATAGGCAGTGCTGGTGATTGAACTGGGATTGGCTGCATGCAAGGTAAGGGCCTTACCTCTTGTACTCTCCTGTAATCCTCTCCATCTTTCCTTCAACTCAGTTCTTTGACCTAGTGACCCAATCCATTACCTCCTCCCACCTCATGTCTACCAAAGTTGCCCAGATAGCACTTCTCCTCCTGGAACTGGGTGACAAGGACCTGGGCCACATATAGTATCCCACTTTGCAGGTGGGAAGATAGCTCTGCAGAATGAGAGTAGGTTTGCCATTTAAAGTAACAGATTAGAGTAATATAAAATATCAAAGGGGACTAAAGCTCTCACAGCCATGGACCTACTCTAGGGAACTGACCAGACACAAGCAATGTCAGGTATAAAGATAAGGAAAGGAACATAAGTCCTGCTTCAATCCTGATTACACCCTAAGACCCTAGCTACTCACTTAAGTCTTTGCTGAAAAAAAGACCACCTCTCTCCCTTTCTCAGAAAAAAATTAGTGCTGTGACAGAGGATATTCAGGCCAGGATGTAGCTCAGTAGTAGAATGTGTGAGGCCCTGGGTTCAATCTCTGGCATCATTAAAAATGAAACAAACAACAAAAAAAATCCCAATATTTAAACAAAGTTAATTGAAGCTATCAGCCTCCTTTCTCAAAGACTTTTCTCCCTCCGATCCTACAATCTTATCCCACCCCCTCAACTTTGCTGCATTACTACCTTCTTATCACCCAAAACCCAACCCACACACACCAAGCCATGTATTCATCTTTTTGGAGCTGCAGTGCTCCAGCTGTGGCAGAATAGATACATCAATATCTTCCTTTGGTTCCTCCTTGGCGAAAGTCTAAAGAAGAAATAAGACCACAGGTAAAATGGTTGCCATCTTCTTCCCACCCTCCTCAAGTTCTTTTCAGTCACAGGTTCTCAACTCTACCCCCTCCTTCCTGAGATTATTTTCAAAATTGATGCCAAGTTCTACTGTAGGTCTGGGAACCCTTTCCTAGACATGTGGGAAGTGCTTATTTCCTCACTTCTCATGATGCCTGGGAAGTCCTTCCCAGATCCCCACCATCACTCTTCCGATCAATCCAAAGACCTCTCACGGGGCTCCTTTTAGGAAGGAGAAAGTACTGATAGAAACAGAGTTCCACGGCCAGAGAGATAGTACAGTGAGCAGGGTGTTTGCCTTGCACGCAGCTGATCTGGGTTTGATCCCCGGCATCCCACATCCCCAGCACCGCTAGGAGTAACTCCTGAACATCGCTGAGTGTGACCCAAAAAGCAGTGCACTGCACTGTAGCACTGTCCTCCCATTGTTCACTGATTTGTTCGAGCAGGCCCAGTAATGTTGTTGTTACTGTGTTTAGCATATCGAACACGTCACAGGTAGCTTGCCAGGCTTTGCCCTACTGTCGAGATACTCTCAGTAGCTTGCCCGGCTCTCTGAGAGGGGCGAAGGAATCAAACCCAGGTTAGCCGGGCCAGCCGCATGCAAGGCAAACGCCCTACTGCTATCAAAAAAAAAAAAAATAGAAATAGAGAGTTCCATTTCTCAGTATCACCCTCAGTACTGAAAGTTCTGTCATCAAGATGCACCCCTCTGCATGTTGACCCCAGTACCGCCTCTCAAGCTGTACCTCAATGGTCCGGTGTAAGGGATCCACAATCTGCCATATAGCAAGAGTCAGGATGTCCGTGCCCACCAGCAGGCCCACTGTAGCATACAGCTTCCAGGGCTCTAGGGTCTGAGTAAATACACAGAATTGACGGGTTGGGAAATCCCCTATCCCCAAAAGCCAAGAAGCTAAGAACTGAGGTCAGAAGCAGCTCACCTTCCTCCACTCCTTCTTTTCCTCCTTCTTTGTGAAGACTGTATGGACCCACCAGATCTTGGTGAACATGGAGCCATAGCCCAAACTAAAACCCAAACCCAGGAGCCAGAGGCGGGCCTAGGAAAGGAAAGAGGGCAGGGGAGTAGGGAGAAATGAATGGGGTGGGGCTGAAAGGAAAACAGATGACAAAGCAAGCAGAATGCAGCTGGTAGGGGGGGCTGACAGAGTGAGGAGAAAGCAGGCAGGAATTTCCCAACCAAATAAATTCTCCCATCTTGCACTTTGCCACTAGAAAAATCCTGTTTAAAACTCTTATTCTGAATCTCCAATCACCTACTTCGCCCCAGTGAAGTAGTCCAAATACCTTCAGATATGATCTGAGACCCTTGGCAATAAAGTGCAATCACTATTGATTGTGCAATCACTTTCATAATCCTCTCCTAGGCTACCTCTCCACACGCCATTTATGATTAGCTAACAACTCTTCAACTCTACTGTCCTTGCCAGACACACATTACTGTTTTCCTTAACACCCTTTATTTTCTAGTTGACAAAATCCCATGCACCCTTTAAATGCCACCACATTTGTGAGGTTCATTCAATGACTCTTCCTGTGGGCTGCATCTTTCCTTTGTCCTCACTTGATGCAGATCCCTACACGGATACCTGTTATATCATACTACAGTCTCTTCTACTGCACACCACTTATGGTGGAGACAGAATCAGATGAACTGCACATTCCTGCATGTGCAAAATGTCATGAGGAGAGTGACGTGATCGGGACAAGCACAGGAGAAAGGAGTAAGAATGAGCAGGAGAAAGAAGAGATATTTCTCCAGCATAACAGAGAGCCATACAAATACCACCATTAACATCAACTTTATATCCTAGCCCAGAACTTTCCACATAAAAAGGATATTACAGACTTTCCTGCCTGTGAAATAATACTCCCTTCCTCTAGAATCTCCATCAATTTAGATCTGCCTGCCTCCATCATCCCTGTCTCCATGCCCATGGCACCACGGTTCCCACGGGAAGTCTTCAGTTTTTATTCTCAGCCCCCATATAAACACAGACGACCATTATTCAGAGGTTCTTTGTGCAGATCCTTTCCCTGAGCCTTCAAAACCTCCATCCTCTCCACAAAGTGTGCCATGGCAACCTTGGAACTGACAAGTAAATTACAGAGTGAAAGAAGTTTGGAGGCTTTTTTTTTTTCAGAACCAGAAAGAAAGTACAGTCCATACAAAGAATAGATGGATCATGTTAGGAGCAGGGAAAGGAGTCAGGGAGAGACAAGAAAAAGAAAACACAAGTACCTCAACATGATAAGGGTTATTCTTCCAAGCTGTAAGTGAGAGCGACATTCTGAAGGTGCCCGCCCACCCACTTCTCACCTGGCAGACGAAAGGGAACTGGTTTCTCCCAATGTGATAGCCATCCAGTCCAAGTGGGAAGACAGCAGCGAGTGCCAGCGAGCAGCCCACAGCTGTCAAATTGTTCAGGTTGGGCTGCGAATTCTGGATATAACTAGAGCAGAAAGGCAGGATGCATGGGAAAGGGAAAAGAACAGAATTACCTTCTTCCAAAAGCCACTCAACAGTCTGACTCAACCTCAGCGTGTAAGCACACTGGAAACAGGCATGGAGCAGAGAGGAGGGTCATAAAAGACCATTTGGTTCATAAAGTTGGAGATGGTACTTCAGGGGCTGCCCCAGCATTAAAAACCTACTGAAATAGAAACCTCTCTATTTCAACTAGACACACTTAACTTTTTCATATAGCTACTTTTGGAGCCAGTATGAGAGTTGTTTCTGGTTCCCCTATACCCCATTTTAATTATCAGTGATCGATGGGAAAGCAAAAAATCAGAATGAAAATCACCATGACATATGGCCTTGGAAGTTATAGAAGTTTTGTTCTTATGACCTTACTGAGGTGTGATCACCAAGATGGAGAGGTAAACAGGATAAGGAAAATTGCAGAAGAGAAACTTACCGAACATGAGAGTTGTAGATGTTAAAAGACAGACAAACAACAGCTAGGACAATGCCCAGACTGGAGAGAACTGAGACGGAGATAAAGAGTTTCTGTGACAGGAAGCGGAATGTCTTGATGACCAGGGTCTGGTCAGCTGGGGGGGACCCTCCTGCATGACATGGGGAAGAGTAAGGGGAGGGGAAGAGAAAGGAAGAACAAAGGAATGAAGATGAGAAAGGGGCAAAGGACAAAGGTTGCAATGGGTATTCATGACTCTAACTGCCCTGAATAAAGCTTGTTGCAGGTAGAATGCTTTTTGATGCTATGGCTCTTAAGAAGCAATCAGAAAAGAGAGGAGAAATTAAAATTAGAGCTTGAGAAAGGCTAGAGCGTATCAGCAAAGGTGTAGTCTTATTGCTATTGTAGTTTGTTCTGTTGTTTGTTGTTGTTGTTGTTTTCAGTTTGGAAGTGCACATCTGGCAGTGCTCAGAGCTTACTCCTGGCTCTGCTCAGGGATCATTCCTGACTGCTTGGCAGATCATATGTGTTGTCAGGGATCAAACCCAGGTTGGCCATGTGCAAGGTGTCCGCTGTACTATCTCTCCAACATGTTTGTTCTGTTTTACTGCCTTTCTTGAAATTAGGAAAAATGGTAGGGGAAAGAAGGGCACAACTGAGAAATAAATGGTTTGAGGCCTAAAACTTCAAATCAAAAGTTGCAAAAGACAGTTGTAGAATCATAGTGCTAAAGAATGTCAAAATATCTAGTCTGGCTTCTAACCTTAAAAGAAATAATAATGATCTAATCTAATCTAGCAGGGTTAGGGTCCCAAAGGTATTTTCCAGTTAATAAGATGAAGCCTAAATTTTTCAGAGTTCACAGAAAAAGAAAGAAAATATTAACTTCAATTTGCTTAGTTTGGAGGAGGGGAGGTATAATTTAGGCCATGTAGCATTTATAGCTGTACAGAACACTGTCCTAAATTCAAATTACAAAAAGCATTCTGAAATACCACCCCCCCATCACTGCCATGGACAACCAGGTATCAATTAAACATGACAGATAGCAGCTACAGTCAGCTACATTCAATGGCTATGCCTCTCTCATCTTAAAGGCACACTTCCATGCCTGTCACCTATTTTATCAGTTGATGCACACCTTCAGTAACTTTCCACTTTCTATTTCCACCAAGTGACCAAAGAATAAGGGGGTGGAGAGATAGTATGGTGGGCAGGGCACTGCCTTGCAAACAGCCAACCTAAGTTGAATCCCTGGCACCACAAATGGTCTCCCAAAACCTACCAGGAGTAATCCCTGAGCACAGGGCCAGGAGTAAGCCTTGAACACTGCCAGGTATGGCGAAAAGGCTAAAGAAATAAATAAATTAGCACATTATGAGGCCCAAGGGTTAACAGAGGTTAAGGCATTTGCCTTGCATCTAGTAAACCCCCATTCAATCCCAGCATGGTATAAGTTACCCTAAGAGCTACCAGGAGTGATTCCAGAACACAAATAGAGGAGTAGTCCCTGGGTAATGCACCTGAGTAGCCCCAGAGTAACTCCTGAATAATGCCAGGTATATCCCAAACACTACCCCCCACACACAAAAAAAATTAAATCATCTTTCTTTAAATTTCTGACTACAGTAGTAATTCTCATATGGGTTGCTGGGGATCAAACTCAGGTCAGCCACCTGCAAAGCAAATGCCCTACCCAATGTACTATCTTTCCAGCCCCTAAACTAAATACTCTTTAAATTTTTTAATGAAAAACACATTTTAGGCAGGTTGTGGCTTAGTGGATGAGTCTAGGTTTGTCTCCTTAAACCACAAAATATTAATAATAACAACAATAAATAGGAGCGATAGCACAGTGGGTAGAGCGTTCGCCTTACAAGCGGCCAACATGGCCGACCCGAGTTCGATTCCTCCGCCCCTCTCGGAGAGCCCGGCAAGCTACCGAGAGTATTGGATATGCCAGACACAGTAACAACAAAGTCTCCAATGGAGACGTTACTGGGCCCGCTCGAGCAAATCGACGATCAACGGGAGGGTCTTTACCTTTACCTTTAATAATAACAACAAATAAATAAAACCCCATTTTTGGAAAGAACAATTATATGAGGTTTTGCAGTTTCTCCCAGCTTACTAAACTAAATGAACTGGTTCAGATATATCAAGGCATCAGAATATCATGGAAATCCTAATGGATTTTCCATTTCCCACCCCCTATACACCCTCTTCCTCTCAGCAATGAACTATTTCTTTTATAGTGACCTGTTAACAACAGCCTATTTTCTCTCCAAATTCACCAGGGGAAACTGTTCCCTACCCAGACCTTAGAAGACTTATTTCCTTTCTTTACATGCACAGTCCCTGGCACATTTCAACCTAATGTCACCTACCACCACAATCTCATTCAAATACATGACCCATTTCTTTAATTATCTAGAGAAGGTGACAGAAAATACAAACAAGGATACACTTACCAATCCACTTATCAGTTTTGGACCAGGAAAGATCATCCTTAGTGCTGTCATAGTAGCCAATCTTCTTGTAGCTGCCACCTGGGCAGATAATAATAGGAGTGACCATAGATAAATGAAGAACTAATGGCAGACATTCTTAACTTCCCACTATTGTTTCCATGGTTGTTTCTGATCTCCCAATGCCAAACTTGGAAGGACCTGATAGGCTACCTGAATCGGTAAGCAAACTTTAGGGCAATGCAAATCAATAAAAATATCTTATGTGTGCAAAACCCTTCCGTGAAAATGGATACACAGTACATCTGCCAACCATTCTGCAGCCTCACACCTCTCTCAGGAAGCTCTCTCACTTTGATTCGGTTTCTAAAGCAAATACTTAGTCTTTCTCCCTCTCACAACAGAAAGAATTATAAGACTGATTTTTTTTCCCTGTAGTGTCTCATTTTAATTTTAGAAATGTCTCTTTCAATGGCTTGAGTTAATTGCTTAGATAATCTGCCATGTGCAGGACTGGAGAGCTAATGCAAGGGTTAAGACACAGGCAGCCAAGCCTGGTTCTATGCCAGCATCCATGATACCTCTGAGCAACTCCCAAGCACAGAATAGGGATTACCCCATGAGCAAAACTAGGCATGGACCAAAAAAAAAAAAAAATCAAATAAATAAATAAGATAAAATTGTCATTTGCCCCTTAAAGAAAATTCAGTCATTCCTAAAATTCTGTTCCATAACTATACACTTACCACCATAACTTTTCTTTCAAAAACCAGTTCCCACCCCTTTCACCATGGCTAAAGTCCATTCTCTCTTGTGTTGGATACAAAGAAGATCTGAATGGACATGGGAGATGGGGAGAAGGAAAGAAAGAAACTTTTCATAGTAGGCCAAGAAATAGCTCGTAGGCATGCAATAAGAAAATGAGAATGAAACAGAATTTTTTAATTAACTCCAAATGTCCTGTAAAAACTTAAGTATGCTAAATTATGAAAAAATACAGAGGTTAGAAAGATACTACAGAGAATAGGGTGCTGTCTTGCATGTAGCCAACCTAGGTTTGATTTCCTACAGCCCATATGGTCCTCTAAGTGATCACCAGGAGTGATCCCTAAATATAGAGCCAGAAGTAAGCCCTGAGCATTGCGGGGTGTGGCCATACAATGAAAAATTTAGAAATAATTATTTATATAGCAAGAAAATGCAGTCACTTAGAAATATCAGGTTTCCTAAATTTAGTTTTCTTTGACTTCATAAATGTACAACTGACAGGCCCTTAATCCTTCAACCCAAGTCATCAAATGAAAATTTCTGAAATGAAAATGGAAGTTATTGGCGGGGGGGGGGGGAACAGGAGGTGTGTTTCCTGTATGCAAGCCCCTTTCAAGAACACAACCACTGCAAAACAAACCCTACCAATATTTGGGAATGCTAACTGGTCCAGCCTTTCTGGAAAACAATATGGGCATTCCTCAAAAAACTAGAAATTGAGCTTCCATATAACAGTAGAACTTCTGAAATATACCCAAGGGGCCCCAAGACACTCAGCTGACACATCTGCACTTCTATGTTCATTGCAGCACTATTTTCAGTAGCCAGAATCTGGAAAAAACCCAAGTACCCAGGCACAGACAACAAGATAAAGAAACTATGGTACATCTACACTGCAACTGCGCATTGGAATTATTTCACAGTCACCAAGAAAAAAGGAGCCCTGAAATTTGCTTATAAATGGATGGACTTGGAGAGTATCATGCTGAGTGAAATGAGTCAGTGGAAGAGGGACAGACATAGGATGATTGCATTCATTTGTGAGATAATAAAAAACATAGTATGAGGAGCTGGAGCGATAGCACAGCGGGTAGGGTGTTTGCCTTGCACGCAGTCGACCCGGGTTCGATTCCCAGCATCCCATATGGTCCCCCGAGCATCACCAGGAGTAATTCCTGAGTGCATGAGCCAGGAATAACCCCTGTGCATCGCCAGATGTGACCCAAAAAGAAAAAAAAAAAACATAGTATGAGACTAATACCCAAGGACATTAGAAATGAGGGCCAGGAGGACTGGTCCATGGTTGTAAGCTTGCCACAAGTGGTGGGGTAGGCAGTTAGGACAGAGAAAGGACCACTATGACAATGACAGTTGGAAATGATCACTCTGGACAAGAACTGAGTGTTGAAGTTAAGTAAAGGGATACACATGATAACCTTTCAGTACCTGTATTACAAACCATAACGCCCAACAGTAAAGAGAGAGTGAGACAGAGAGGGGGGGGAAGGGAGAGAGAGAGACAGAGACAGAGACAGAGACAGAGACTGAGAGAGAGAGGTGTCTACCATAGAGGCAGGCTGTGAGGGAGGGGATGGCGGGAGGGAAACTGGGGGCATTGGTTTTGAGAAACATGCACTGGTGAAGGGACGGCATTTGGAACATGGTATGACTGAAACCTAACCAAGAACAACTTGATTAACTGTGTATCTCACGATGATTCAATTTAAACAAAAATAACAACTAATATTTCTATTATTATTACTTTTCAAGAGTTTGATGAATACAGTTTAAAAAAAAAACAACAAGGTTAGGTCCAGAGACAAAGCTCAAAGAACTGAGCATATGTTTTACATATAGGAGGGCTATATTCAATCCCTGGAGCAGCATGGATCTCTGAGCACCACCAGGAGTGACCCCTGAGCAAGAAGCCCAAGCACTGCTAGGTCTAGCCATAAATTAATAAATAAAAGATGTCAGAAGGTGGGGGAAGCGCTGAGGAAATCTTGTGTGACTTCCTGGTGCTTTTCTCCCAGAAGGTGTCCTAGACTGCCCCTCCCCGTGTTCCCCCCACCCCATCACACACACATACACACCTCGTCAAACTCCCCAGACACCTCATATTTCTGGGCTTACCCTGTAGCTGCTCGATAAGTGTCCATGCCATTCGAGAACCACTGGCATCAAATACCACATGACCCTGAGGGAAAGAAACATGTGGGGAAAAAGGCAAAAGGAATAAAAGCAAGGGTGAAAAGAGAACATCAGGGACTCTGAATCCTTATGCCTTTGATATAATTGAGTTTGTGAAGGAATTCTATTTATGGTGCTTCCCTGTATATAGGACAACCCCAGATGTCTATACCCTAGATTTCAGAAATATTATTCTTCAGAGAAGATTCTTCATTTGTAAAATCTGTATAGGCAAAAATGCCCAGAACAAGGACCAGTCTCCTGGCTCTGTGAACCACCCAAGTCACTGAAACCTCAACATGTATCTATCCACATTGCTTTTTATTTATGTATTTATTTATTTATTTATTTATTTCAATAGGTAGGCCACATCGAGTAGTACTCAAGTACTATTTCTGAGTCAGTGGTACGAGGATACTTCTGGTAGTACTTGCAGCATCAATGGATTGCTGGGCCTCCCACATGCAAAGCATATGCACTCCAGCCCTTTGAGTGATCTCTCTGTTCCTAATATCTCACTTTAAAAAGAAGAAGCTATCTTTGTTTCCTCTTTTAAAATCCTACAATTTTAATCAACTCATAAACATCCAAATAAAAAAAAAATGAGGAAGAGTTGAAATAAGTGGAATCTATCTTGAAGAGATAACTTAAAGGGCTAGAGCAAATGCTTTGCATGTGGGAGGCCTGGATTTGATGCCTATCACATGTTCACCTAGAACCTGAGCACTGCTGAATATGACCCAAAATATGAAAAAAGAAAAAAGAAAGAAAGAAAGAAAGAAAGGAGGAAAGGAAGGAAGGAAGGAAGGAAGGAAGGAAGGAAGAAAGAAAGAAAGAAAGAAAGAAAGAAAGAAAGAAAGAAAGAATTGGACATGCTATATTTCTCTTTTAGCCTTTTGTGAGGATTGTCTGGTCTGAGACGTATTATCATAGATAAGGAAAAGAGATGGAATGTATGTTTCCAAGAGAAGAAGGGTGCACTCTCTCTCTCTCTCTCTCCCTCTCTCTCCCTCTCTCCCCCCCTTCTCTATATCCCCCTCCCCCCCCCCACACTCTCTCAGACAGAGTATTAGAAAAGTTGCAATAACTCACAGAGACACCCTCAAAGGATGAGGAGTTCATTGCCCGGTAGATTTGATCAGTAATGGTCTGGTTGTTGTAATTGAAGTCTTCCAGGCGCACACCTGAACGGCCACCCCCTCCAGAGGTTTTATTCAGGGCCAATGCTAAGGCCCAGATAGCATCATAGGCCAGTGGTGCCTCCTGAAAGCCTCCTGTCTCCTCAGGGTGTCGTTTTAGTCGTTTGGTCAGCTTCTCCACAAATTCCTGGGATGTCTGAGAAAGTAAAAATAGGAGAAAAATATTGAGGGGAATATAACATCTCATGAAGTGTGGGATCATATTCTGACTTTGACATGTCAACTTGAATCAGGTTGAGCATGTATACATTCAAAATCTTTCACTATACATACATGTCTGTCTTAGATTAGCTACTGTACTACACCAAAAAATGGCCGTATCCATTTATCTTGGTGTGTACAGCAATTATCTCATAACTACAAATTTTAATGACTAAGCACTAGGCATAATGAAAAGCAAAGGCTAGGAAAAAAAGATAGGTGTTCCAAAAATAAACTGCAATATTAATTTTCTCTTATCCTTGACGCTTTCTCTATAGAGTTGCCACAGAGAATCTAACAGTTTCTTCATATTTGAACCTAGAAAAAGTGACAATATAGCCTTCCTCACTCTTCAACCAGGAATTTTGTCTTTAGTGTGCTGGCTTCTTGTCCTCCTCATGAAATTTCAGTTCACGGTTTCTTAGTATTTTAAAAACTTTCAGTTCACTGTCCCAGAGTATTTTAAAATGTTAAATTTTTGAGGACTGCAAAAATAGACTTCACATTACATTCTTGAAGTTCAATTCAATCTCTCCCAAGCCCCTTCCAACTCTCAATTTTATTTTCCAAGAAATAGCACTGTCCTCCCATTGTTCATCGATTTGCTCAAGCGGGCACCAGTAATGTTTCCATTGTAAGACTTGTTGTTACTGTTTTTGGCATATCAAATATGTCACGGGGAGCTTGCTAGGTTTTGCTGTGCGGGCAGAATACTCTTGGTAGCTTGCCAGGCTCTCCAAGAGGGGTGGAGGAATCAAACCCGGGTTGGCCGCATGCAGGGCAAATGCCCTACCAGCTAAGCTATTGCTCTGACCCTCCAAGAAATATAAAAATAATAATAGTTTTTTTTTCCCAAATGGGAATAATCTTTCTTTGGGGACCAAATCTGGTGGTACCTGGGGGCTACTCCTAGTTCTATACTGCAAGTCATCCCTGGTTGTGCTTGTTTCTAGAGTCATGCAATTCCCATGCAGCTCCCAGAGTCAAATCTGGACTTTCTGGATTAAATAATTAATCAAACTCAATTAATTAATTGATTGAGCTCTAGCTGACTGAGCCATCTCTCTTACCCAAGAACAACAGCTTCTTAAAACTGTCACAAAATATATCTAAAGACCTGGCCATAACTTTGTTTAACAAATAACTGGTAAACTACATAAATTGTTCCAAATGTCTTCCACAGAATGGAGAAAAATCATATCTGCCCTTTTCCTTGCCATAAAATAAAAGTCTTAATAACCTGTTAGCAAGGTACATGTTACTCAAAGAGATACTATACAATTCTATTTATACTTAGAATAAGTTAATAAACATACTCTAATAGATTGTGAAAACACAAAATACTTGTTTCCCATTCTGGTCACTTTTCTATTTTCTTTCTTTCTTTCTTTCTTAACTTTCTGGAGACATAGCGGATTGGGAAATGCAAATGACAGAGGCGGTCCACTGGAGAAGAAACAGCCTGGGTTTGGAAAGCAGATAGGCCTGCGCTCTAGTGCCCTGAGAACAAAACGAGGTTTCATTCATCTCTTAATCCTCAGCAACCAGTATTGTGCCCAGTTCATAATGGACAATAACAAATGCACATTGGATTAAGGCAGTGAAAATACCCTGCAATATACCAGTATTCAGGGACCATGAACACTGCCAGAGATCAAACCTAGGTCAGCCATGTGCAAGGCCCTCCTTGCTGCACTGTCTCTCTAGCACAACAAAAAGTAGTTTTAAAAGTGTTTTCACTGGGGAGCCAGATTGACAGTACAATACCTCCCTCTCCCCATGAACATTTTACCTTGCATGCAGTTGACCTGGGTTCGCTCCCCAGCATCCCATATGGCCCCCCGAGGACCACCAGGAGTAATTCCTGAACTCAGAGCTAGGAGTAACCCATGAGCACTGAGAGATGTGCATCTCCCCCCCAAAAAAAGGTGAAACTACAATCAAAATATCTAAGACAAAAATCAACCTTTCCTAACCTCCAACATTCATGAGTACCTGAGACTAAACTTAGAATAATTTTCAAATCATCTATTTCTCCTAATTCTTTAATAAAATATTTCACTAATATCAATTTTACTATACAGAATGTTAGAAACTATAATAATACGAAAATAATAACATCTAACTCTTTGTACCAGGTGCTCTTCTAAGAAATACATATCAAATTTCAGTCCTTAATTCAATAAAACATATACTATTATTATACGGGCTGGAGCGATAGCACAGCGGTTAGGCGTTTGCCTGGCATGCAGCCAACATGGCCGACCCGAGTTCGATTCCTCCGCCCCTCTCGGAGAGCCCGGCAAGCTACCGAGAGTATCTCGCCCGCACGCCAGAGCCTGGCAAGCTCCCTGTGAGGTATTCAATATGCCAAACACAGTAACAACAAAGTCTCCAATGGAGACGTTACTGGGACCGCTCGAGCAAATCGATGATCAACGGGAGGACCTTTACCTTTATACCAATTTTAGAAATAAGGAAACTGAGGCAAAGATCAGTTTATATTGCATGGAAGAACTGGGACCTAAGGCAGATCTGTATCTGCACAGAGCATCTGCCCAGCAAAACAGCAATAGGACGGAGACTTATAAGTAATCCTTCAGTCTCCAAGTCTCTCCAATCTTGGCTGCAAAGTAAATTCCACCATTCATACAAATCAGGAAGCAATCAAATACAAAGTTCAGTTTCTGATTTATTAACAGCTTTCACTCTCTCCCCATAGGTGAGAATAATGGCTCAGCAATAATCTATGAAGTCTGCATTATGAGAGAGCTTTTAATTTTTTTTACATCTTTCTTAAGAAGAAAAACTATTTTATTTAGAGAAATATGAATAGAGAGAATGTGAGGGGAGGGCTGTTCAGGTGGGGAACTTTTAAATTTGTACTGTACTGAAATCTGATAGGACCTCTATCCCTGATCAGAATTAACTTATAATTTTATCCCCATCTATCCTCTGCCGGGCTGGAGCGATAGCACAGTGGTAGGGCGTTTGCCTTACAAGTGGCCAACATGGCCGACCCGAGTTCGATTCCTCCGCCCCTCTCGGAGAGCCCGGCAAGCTACCGAGAGTATCTCGCCCGCACGGCAGAGCCTGGCAAGCTACCCGTGATGTATTCAATATGCCAAATACAGTAACAATGGAGACATTACTGGGCCCGCTTGAGCAAATCGATGAACAACGGGAGGACCATGACTGTGACCATGTATCCTCTGCCAGAAATACAGTATTTCTCCAAGTCAACCCTAACTATTCTCCCATATTCAGATCTTAAAATCTCTTTCCCTAAACCAAAGTTTCTCAATCTATGTACTATTGGCATTTGGAACAGGATCATTCTTTGCTGGGAGATGAGAGGGATTGTCCTGTTCATTTGCATGTGGATACGGGATGTTTAGAAGCATCTCAGCTTAACCTCTACTCATTGAATATTAGATAGCTTTATCCCTATTCTCATACCACCATCATCAGCACCATTCTTAGTTACAACAAACAATATAATTCCTAGACATTGCAACCTCTGATTGTACTACTAATGGTATTATTAGTTATTAATAGTTGCAACAAGTAATAGACCTCAAAACTTAGTCCCCTAGACTATAACATCAACTTCCCAAGGAGCTTGTTAGAAATGTAAATTTCCAAGTTCCACCTCTGACCTGAATCAGAAATTGCCAGGAAAGAATGCAGTAATCTCTGTACTACCTTCCAGGTAATTCTGATGGAAGCTGCAGTTTGAGAACTGCCTATCTAAACCTAAGCCCATCCCCACGAAGTGAAGGCATCTCTGCTTCTTTTCTAAAGAAATCTCCATAACTCTAGACCTCTCAGCCCAATCTTTGCTTTTGATTAACTTTTCTTGGTCCTGGTTAACTCAGCTAAAGTCTCTCCCTTAGGTGTTAAGGAAGCTTCTATTCTCTGTAAAATCTTAGCTAGTATTTTAAGCAATCAAACAGGTTTATTTCCACTTCTAGGCCTCAAAAGCAGTAGCCATCTTCCTCTAGAGACCAAGAACTAGGAAAAAAAACATAAAGTCATTCCAAATTCATCTCGTTCCAAAACCCAGGGCTCCCTTTACACCCCGATGCTTCCCATCAAGGCTTCTCTAGCTCCACACTATCAGGCAGAAGCCAAAACTGGTAGATCCTAGACTCACAGCACCAACATATCTCTCCAGTTTGTCATGCTTTACTTCCACATGTTCTTGGGGGTCTCTCTCATCTTTCAGGTGAGCTATAGGAAAGTGAATTTGCAGAATACACACATTTCAACAATATGGAGCATGGCAACAGGCGCCAGGGCAGGTAAGACCTATCCCTGCATAGTGACCCAGTCGGGAGTGTCTCGGCACATTTTACAGGCACCAGGTATCTGGTATTGAGTCCCTTCTCCCAAGGATTATCACCTAGCTGCATTCCTAACTGCAGCATCTAGCCTTATCTGGGAGAGGGCCGTGGCAAAGCAGAGCTGGAAAGCTGATAGGTCAGTGATGCTAAACTTTATGTTATTGGACCATCCTCTTAAGCCTAGTCCCTCTATAAAATATGTGTATAGTTGGCAATAAAGTGAGCGTCTTATCAGCTGTCTCCCAGAGTAGTTTCTCCGCGCACTCATCTATCCGTGCACTTTGCCCTGCATCTGCCCAGACCCGGTGCGCAACATGGCCGGGCACCATTGGAGAAAAACAGTTCCCCAACACAACAAGATACCTTAAACATAGGGTCAGTGTCCCTTAGAATGTCCCGAAACAGTGACCATGATTAGAGTTCATTGTCAAAAAAAAGTATTGAATCTAAAGAAGATAGCTCAACAGGCTGACTGCTTTGCATACAAGAGGACTGGTTTTGATCCCCTGCACCACACAGTCCCTCACGCAGATTCAGGAGCCACCCTCCAGCACTAAGCCCCTGAGGCACCCCACGGGTGGGGGGGGGGGTCGGATGAGAGCCCTCCCCGCCCCAAGAGACCCAGCTCCAGCAGCCCAAAACCTCCACAACCCAAGCAGCTAAAAACCTCCACAACCCAACTGCCGCCACACTCAAGGCTGCTCCCCACACGCTTGGGCCGGGCCTCACATATGAGCAAACATATTCCTGGAACAGGCGGCCGTTTTTGCAGTCTCACAACACATCATAAAATACTCCCTACCCATTCTCCATTATTGCCGCATCACATCTGATGGGGTTCAGATAGTAGGCAACAAATCATAGAGTGAAATATATATGCATATATACATATTTTCAGATATATATACCAAAGCTCACATCACCCAAACTTTAACAAGATGTTAGTGATATCCTATAGAATGTCTTAATGGCTCCTGCCAAAATAGAACAATCTTCACACTGTTTCCTATATGAACACTTTTTTGTAAGCATTTTCAGCAGTTCTTCATAACAGACAATGCAAAATAGATTATTTCGGTTGTGTTTTGGGACAGGGATTGGGGTTTGGTGGTGGGAGGGTGTAATGGTGGTGGGATTGGTGTTTGAATATTGAATGTAATAAAACATTGTGAATTTATAAAATTAAAAACTTAAAAAAAAAGAAAGAAATGTGGAGTTCATGCCCAATTCAATCGGCTTAATCAATGGCTGAATAAATAGCAGTGTTCCTACATTCGTCGAGCAGGCCCCAGTAAAAAAAAAAAAGAACAGCCCCTAAGCACCATCAGTGGGTGTTGCCCAAAAGCCAAAACAAAAAGCAAACTGAAACTGTCATTGATAAACAGTGTTAGCAGACAAAAGTAAACACTTTTTAGCCAGACTTCATAGCTTTCTGTGAAAAATAATGAAACACAGTGGTCTGGAGTTAGATTCATCTAAGACTCAATTATAATTTTACAACGCAAGAGCTCTATGACCTGTGACAAGTTACCTAACCTCTCCGAGTCTCAATTTCCTGGTCTATAAAATGGAAATGAAAAATATACATTAGAATGCTTTAAGGATCACTAAAAATATGTATCTAAGCCCCTAGTTTATGACACAAGAGCAATTATTACTATAATTTTTTTATAAAATATTCAGGGACTTTACAACCATTAACTTGCATCCCAGTATAGTCTCCAAAGCAGGTATTCCAGATCTGGAACTATCTAAGCAGACATATAAGTAGGTCTATTAAGAGACCAAAGATTTATGTACTCTTCAAGAGGTGTTGAGCAAGAAAGAAACCTCTCCTTCCACCATGCCCTGCTTACTTGGACCCTTTTCCCTGTCGTTGCAAACAAGAGAATGTGTCATCTTTTCTAGGTCTATCTCTAACTATCCAGGGAAAACTAATTTGAAATTTTCCTTATACAGAAAAAAAACCCTAAAAGAGAATTAATTAAAAGTCATCAGCAGAGGGTTGGGGAGAGATAGTACCAGGGGCAGCGTGCTTATCCTGCATGCAGTAACCTGGTTCAATCCCCAGCACCCGATATGGTTCCCTGTGCCCCCCGCAGGGACTTCTGAGCACAAAGTCAGGCGTAAGCCCTAAGAACCACCAGCTGTGACCCCAAAATGAGGGGGAAAAAATCAACAGGGTCAAGGAGATAGAACAAGGCTTGGGGATGGCTAGAGTGATAGCACAGAGGATAGGGCATTTCCCTTGCACGCAGCCAACCCGGGTTCCATTCCCAGCATCCCATATGGTCCCTTGAGCACTGCCAGGAGTAATATCTGAGTGCGTGAAACAGGAGTAACCCCTGTGCATCGTTGGGTGTGACCCAAAAAGAAAAAAAAGAAAAAAATTTAGAACACCCCTGTGCGATGCCGGGTATGACCCAAAAAGCAAAAAAAAAGGGAGAGAGATAGAACAGGACTTAAGGAACTTGACATGCATATGGATGACCCTAGTTTGATCTCCAGCATTGAATATGATCCCCCACACACCACCAGGAGTGACCCTTAAGCACAGAGTCAGGAGTACTAAGCACTGTGGAGTGTAGTCCAAAAACAAAAAACAAAAACAAATCAGCCAAACTGAATATTCATCAGGAGTGAATGTCAAGCTATTCTAAAATGCTCTGAAATCACCAAGAAAATAAAATGCATTTCTGTCCAGGAACAGTTTCTCTAAAGGCATGCTTATATATACAGCTTCTACATTATCATTCATACTGTCCCCTAGGACTGGAGCGACAGCACAGCGGGTAGGGTGTTTGCCTTGCACACAGCCGACCTGGGTTCAATTCCTCCATCCCTCTCAGAGAGCCCAGCAAGCTACTGAGAGTATCCTGTCCACATAGAAGAGCCTGGCAAGCTCCAAGTGGCATATTCTATATGCCAAAAACAGTAACAACAAGACTCACAATAGAGAGTGGTGCCCGCTCGAGCAAATCGATGAACAACAGGAGGACAGTGCTACAGTGCTACTGTCCCCTAACATAAATTCTTGTCAATTGCTTCTTGTTGTCATTTTGATAGTCTCCTCAGGAACCTTCTAGACATACCACTCATTTATTTCTTTTTTCTGCTCATAGAAGTCACAGCGGACTTTTATATTACACAGGAAACATGAAGAAAACAAGCTTAGAGTTGGCAAAACTCACTTCTCCTGTACCTCCAAACTCCCCACCTGATCCCAATCCTTTATAAGACTCTCAATTCCTTCTTTCCACCTGCCCAGGTGCCAGTCTCTAAGTTCCATATTCTTACCATGTTGGAAATGCTGCGTGTATTTGCAGGGTTCAGCATGACAATCTCAGTGGTAATGTGGCCTTCAACTGCCTCCGTCATCTCATCCACAGTGCAGTTGATAGATGGGTCATAGGTCTTGAACCAATTGTCAGCATACCACCCAATGAGAAACCAGACATACTTCTTCCCAAAGAGACGTTCTTTGTATACCTGAATTCAGAAGAGGAGGAGATCCTGGTCTTTGTTTCATTATTATTTTTTTTCTTTCTTTTTTTTTTTTTTGGTCTTAGTTGACACTATTCAACCTATAGGAATCAGTGGAAAGCCAGAATTGGCATATTCTTGGGGATAAGAAGAAAGGTTCAACTAAACCTTCTAAGTTCTCCCCCTTCGAAATGCCTTCTAAGCATTTCAGAGGATTTATAAAATAATTTAGAAAAAAATAAAATTTACAATCTCGTCTGGAAATATAAAATCAATAGGAAATGAGATTTGGATAAAGATCTCACTTAGTGTACTAAAGAATACATTCATGACAAGAAGCCAAGATGTGGAGTTAAAGTCAATTAACAGAGACAACATATTAATTATAACCTCAAATAATTGGCTATAAACTTAAGCAGAGATTGGAGAGGAGATCTCATGAGATGCCCAGGACAAAAAGCTCACCCAGAGCCCCTCCCTCTTTGAATTCCAACCCCACCTCACAGAAGACTTTTCGGGCTTCAGTTTCATAGAAAAGTCCCACGATGATTCGGGCATCCTGGCGCTACAGAATGGAGAGAAAAAACAGCGCTTCTGAGAGGGGTCTGGAAACACCAAATAATTTCAAGGCATTGGTTTTAGGTCCCAAAGTGCTTAGTGCAAGGTTCTATCTACACAATGGGTAGGGAATAAATGTCAACTGGAAGAGAGAGCTAAATTACCCCAGGAGAGGCTGCTGCCTCGCAAAATGCATAGTTATGTAATATAAGAAACGTATTAACTAATGCAGCTGTGCTGATCATACAGTGATAAATATATCAAGTCAACACAGCTGTACACCTTAGATTTACACAATGTCATGATGATTATGTTTCAATATTTAAAAAAAAAATACTTGCCCCTGCCTGACCCTCCTCTTCAACCCACTGCTGCTCCCCAGACCCAATCCCTTTAAACGCTGAGCCCATTACTCCCAGTCATCCCACCTTAAGGTTTTTGACAGGCACAGCTGGATCTGAGAAGAAACTCTGACGGAAAGTAATCTCAATTCCGGCCTCCTTCACTCGTTCCTCTAGGTCATCCAGGGTCTTAATGAGAACGGGAAACAAATACAAAAAAAATAAGAGTGCACAATGGGGGTAAAGACCAGATATGCACTGCAGTGTAGCACTGCAATCTCCTCCCATTGTTCATCGATTTGCTCGAGCGGGCCCAGTAACATCTCCATTGTGAGACTTGTTATTACTGTGTTTGGCAAATCGAATATGTCACGGGTAGCTTGCCAGGCTTTGCTGTGCTGGCGAGATACTCCCGATAGCTTGCGGGGCTCTCTGTGAAGGGCAGAGGAATCAAGCCCAGCTCAGCTGGGCAGGCCTCGGGCAAGGCAAATGCCCTACCACTATGTTACTGCTCCAGCCCAAAGACCAGATATTAAGGAAGAGTAATTCTAAACCTTCTTACTACAAGTTCCAAGGTAGCCTGAAGTAGGGAATTTCAAAGTAAAATGTCTGAAATGGTTAAATGTGACTTCTAAGTGGAAAGGTACCAAAGGAAACCCCTCTTGATGACCTGTGTCCAAGTAACATACCCCATTCCTACCGAACAGCAAAAATGAGAGGACAACAAAGGAACTGGAAAGAAAATAAGGCAGGTTTAGGATAGACAGGTGACGTTAGCCTCAAGAGGCATTTGACTCTTGGAATATTTCCGTGGGCCCAAAAATACTTTTCAGAAAGACATAAGAACTCCTATGTTCATTGTAATACTATTCACAATAACCAAACTGGGAATAATCTAAGTGCCAGGAACTGATGGCTGGATAAAGAAACTATGTTACATATACACAATGGAATACTATTCCACTGTAAAAAAAAAAAAAAGATGAAATCATGCAACTTACTGCTATATGGATGATTTAGAGAGTATTTGGTTCAGGGAAGTTACTCAGATGGAGAGGTATATACAAAACAATGATCTCTCTCCAGTGGAATAAAAGGGAACAGAGTAAGGGAATAAGACATGTCTAAAGGTAATAGAAGCTGAGAATTTAAGAACTGGTCTTGATTAGGAAGCTTAAAGGACAGGTGGAGTGGGGGCTGCTGGAAGGTGGTCAAGTATTACGCATGAAACCATATCAGTAACAGTATTGTAGCACTGTCCTCCCGTTGTTCATCAATTTGCTCCAGCAGGCACCAGTAACGTCTCCACTGAGACTTATTCTTACTGTTTTTGGCATATCAAATATGCCATGGGGAGCTTGCCAAGCTCTGCTGCGCAGGCGGGATACTCTCGGTAGCTTGCCGGGCTCTCTGAGAGAGAGGAATCAAACCCCGGTCGGCCACGTGCAAGACAAATGCCCTACCTACTGTGCTATCGCTCCAGCCCAGTAACAGTATTACAAATGACAATGTCTAGAGGGGTGGGGAGGAAGGTGCCTGTTATAGATGCACACTGGTGAGAGGGAGGATAGTGGGGAGACTGGTGGGGTGAAGTGGACACTAATAGAGGGACTGGTGTTGGAACACTGTATGCCTGAAACCCCAATCATTAATAACTTTGTAAGTCATGGTATCTCAATTTAAAAAAAAAAAAAGAGGCAAGTGGCAAATACTTAAAGGGATCAGAGAATAGTCAGAATCACTAGATCACATGATAGTCAGCTATCACGTAGGGTATGTCCATGGAAAAGAACATCATTGGAGAAAAGAAAGCCCTAAAATCAAAGAATGAAATTCAACTTGTTCATTCTGGTTATTCTCTGGTTACAGAAAAAAAAACTGAGCTTAACCATTCTAAAAATTCATTCTTTCGATTCGAAAAAAATTAAGATCTTCCTCCCCCAAATAAATCCCATGTCACAGCCATCTTCACCGGCATTTGAGGGAATGCCCGCCCTCCTCACCGATGTGAAGACCTCAGTGGTCTGCTGAATGGTAGCAATCTTCTTCCAGCCCCACTTTTCAAAGAGTTTCACTCGGGTAGGATTGTGGAGTGTAGCTGACGGATGAGTTCGGAAGAATGTAGGAAAGCGCTGCCGGTTTGACAGAGCCGGTGAGCTCGAGCCATAAGAAAGCTAAGAGGGACAAGGGCAGTGCAAAGGGTATATTTATAAAAGACTTACCAAGAGCTACTGAGAGTTTCTTCAACCCATCACCCCTCTCTCCAACTCCCCTACTTCTGCCCTAAGGAAACATGCTTCTCAACAACACACATACCCATTCACAACCAGAGCATCTCTCATGATCTGATTTCACTTCCTTCTGATGAAAGAAGTCAACCACACCAGACTCAGTCATGTCATGGCTGTTAAGAAGCTAAATGCTCAGGTCTGCAAAGGACTTTGTATTCTGGCAGTCAGTTCTTCACAGTTCTTTTAAATATAAACTCTCAATACACCTCCTCTTCAGTGTAGCTCCATCTTTTGATCCCCATTAAGAGCTTACCACAATGAGGTTCCACATCCTGGCAGCCTCAGCCACAAGCGTAGAGACAGAGCTGCAGCCGGGCATAAGGATGATCTTGATAGGGTCATTGTAGAGAAGCTCGTACAGGTACTTCGTAGCTTGACCTGGATCACACTGAATATGGGGTGGCGGAGAAGGAGAGCAAGTGAGAGGAAGATAATTTTCCCACAGTCTCTGCTAAAAATGGTCTACCATATTTCCAGGGTTTTTTTTTCCTTACAGAGATGGCTTTCTATTGAGTCTTGCTTGTGCTCGTTTCTTCAGCATCCTCTCTGTCTTCAATCTGAAGTCTGACCTCACCCTCTCTGTACACCCTTCCTTTGATATAAATGCACCTTCCTTACTCTAGTCCATCTTCAGCTGTCCCCTAGCCCACCTTTCCTCTATCACCCCTTATCCCATGCTTCTGTGCTCCAGACATGTGCAGGAATATGAACAAACTCTCTCCAAATTCCCAGACAGCCTCCTCAATGTCATTTATGAAAACCTCTCCCTTGTTTCTGTAAACTCACTCAACCTGCCCCCCACTTCCATTTTCCTCTCTCTTTTCAGGGCTAGTGACAAACAACAGAGAGAAAGAACAAGACCATCAGGGGGTCTGCTCAGCTATCCGGCCCTTCCTGCTGAGTGCTGACATTTGACAGGTTCATTAGAAGGGGACAGGGAGAGACATTTAGGGGTATAAGTGAGGAGAAAAAGAGGACAAGGAAGAAAATAGGAGAAAAACCTGAATAGGACTCTCAAGACATCAGATGCTTTTTAGCGGTACCTTAAAAGAGAGGTACAGAACTAAGGAAAGTATAAAAATGCAGAAAGCTAGAGAGGAATGGGTGAAGGGAAGATGGGACGTGGGGGGAGGAAAAGCCAGCCAGATCCTTCACTGCCTGTTTACCTCCTGCTGAAATGTGACATTTCAGGAGCTGCTGGAGCCCAAAGGAAGTGAAGGAGAAATGGAAGCCAGTGGGGAGCCCAGGCAGAGGGGACACAAATACAAGAGACTGAGAGACTGAGGAGTGGGAAAGAGGGAACAAGGAAATAAAGCAGCACCCCCCTCAGTGCTCATGTCCCACTGAGACCTGACATTTGGGACACTGTGGGAAGTTGCAGAAGGGAAAAGCAAGAGAGGCCAGGCTGTCAGCATCTAAAGAACAAACACCCAGAACTTTCTGCTGCCATCCCAAGTGGTTAAAATGCCGACTCAAATGGCACTTTTTGAATGGTTCTTGGTTCCTCCAATTTAGAAAGTTTTGTGTATCTTTACCATTCTCGGGTCCCTTTTTTGCACTTTCCTAGCTTCTATGACTCCGGGTCCTACCCATAGCTTCTCCCAAGTCCCCTTTCTTATTTGATGAAAAGTTTGATGGGAGCGATGAAGATGTATGAGAAGACATGAGATATACAAACAGGGCAATTTCTTCAATCCCAGGTCTCTTCCGTCCCCTCACTCTCTCGACCTTGCCTTCCATCCCATTCCCCCTCACATACTCTCTATTACTGCCTATTCTCTCCAGCATGGGATTCTCACCCCCGCCCCAAAGAACTCCCCCATTCTCCTTCCTCTCCTCTGCTCTATGCAAATATTAGGATGTACAGACAGGCCGGAACACATAACAGTTGACATATTAACGGTTTATCTGCCCTTCCATCTCCCCCTTGCTGCTTCTGCTCTATTCCCCTCCATCTCCCTTCCCTCAGGTCCTCCATCTGCTTCGTTACACTCTGGGGAACCACCTGTCATAGTGGATGAGTTTTGAGCTCACACAGTTCTCCCCTCCTTTTCTGTGATCCCTGTCAAAATGACAGCACCCCTCTGTCTCACCCCCCCCCATACTTCCACAGACACCTCTCGTACACTTCTGAGTTTGATCCCCCTCATCAGATCCTAAATTCTTTTCCTGCTGTTCTTCCCACAGGTATCCTGGCTACATAAGCATCCACCACAACACAATTTTTTATTGATGAAAATGCAGATACTCGGGACTCTCCTGGCCATGGAATCAGAATCTATATTATTGCCAAACTCCTCTGGTGATTTTTTTTAAGGGAGAAGTCGAGCTTGTTGATGCTCAGGGGTTACTCCTGGTTCTATACTCAAAACTCATCCGTGGCAGTGCTCAGGAAACCGTATGAGATGTGAAGGATTGAACGCAGGTCAACCATGCAAGACCAACACTTGACCTCTGACCTAGCTCTCTGGCCTCTCCTCTGGTGATTTTTATGAACACTGAAGATCACTGCAAGTGTCAGAAGGACTGAAGTCCCCTCTCCAACAGTCCTTGAAATATCTTCTGTGTACCCCCTGTGCAACCCCACTTCTACCCCTTCCTGCTTCACATTCCTATTTCTAGACGTAGACTGCTATCCTAAAGAATAAACACAAATCATCAGTACACCCCAGGTGTAAGATCACAAGCCCTCACTTCCTACACTCACTCCTCCCCCATCCCTGAAATCTCAGAAGCCAAATGTCAGAGGAAACAAATGTAAGGTTCCAAGTCTCCTTTCCTCCCTGCACCCATCCTTACCCATATGTAGGAGACAGGGATGGGAATGAGATCTTCCAGAACCACCCTCCACAATCTCTGAATCCAAATGTTCGGCCCTTCCCCCACCCTATATCTCCTTTCCCTCTCACATCTTAGAGGCCACAAAGCTGTAAGGAAGATAGACTCTACACTCAAGTTACACATAACATAACGCTTCATGATCTCTCACAATCCTCGTCACTCCTCCTTATCTCCCCTCCCCACTGCCCATCTTTTTTCTCTTCCTTCTGTCACTGTACCCTGACTTCTCTCCATAGCCATGCTCTTGTGGGGATTCCTCTGAGGACCTCAAATCCAATTCATTTCCCCAGTGACTCTGCCCATCTCCTGATCATTAGCTTTCCCCAAACACAGTGCGCCATGCATCCCCGCTGCCCAGGAATTCGAGACAGGGTTGAGAGAGGGCGAGGATGGGGAATAAAATAGGACTCACTGCTATCGTGCTGTTTATTTTGCTTGATAAACTAGACTCCTCAAGTCGCTTCAAATTTTCATCATCTGTCCCTATTAACTTCCTGTTTCAAGCAGCTGCTAAGATTTACCTTGTTGCCATGGTAAATGCAACCCTGGCTCAACTCCCCACCTGACAACCCATCAGTGTTAGTTTACTTCCAGGAGGATCCCAACTCCTCACCCCACCCCCACTTCCTTGGAATCTCAGGTGCAGAAAGGTCTGCTCTGCTGCACTGACTAACCATCTTGAACCCCTAGACCCTCATCTTGAACCTCCAGCCTCTGCCAGGCTCTCGCAGACCATCCCTGCAAGTCACACAGGGGATGGGAGGGGTTTGCTGGAAATCCTAGAAGCTGAAACTGAGGGGGGCATGCAGCGATCCCAGGACCCAAGCCCCCATCTCCCCCATCTCCCATTTCCCATATCCCAGGTTACCTTGCTGTCGTGGTGGATGAGCTTAAGCTCATAGTCCGGCAGGATGTCCCTGCGGCTATTCACGTCCTCCAGCGCCATCTCCACCGCCGGCTGGCAGGCCTGGCCCCCTGGCCAGCCCCCACTCATGGGAAACAGCGCCCCGATGTACACTGCTCGCCGTTCTGAGGAGGGGTGCGGGTGGACCCGCGGGTGAGGCCGCGGAAGATGAGAAGAGTGGGAGGCCCACACCGGAGCCACCCCAGCTGCCACGGCCACCAGGAGCGGCAGCGACCACCCTCCCCGGGGAGGGCCGGCCCCCAGACCCATGGCAGGGCGGGGGCGGGCAGGGGAGCAGCTCGGGAGGGGGAGGAGCTCAGGGGGGGCACTTCTCCGGGGGAAGGCTTCTGAGGGGGCGTTGAGGGGGCGCCTCCATCCCTAGTTCTGCCCGGAGGAGGGGATTAGGGAGCCTGAGAAGCAGGGACTGTTGGCTGCCGACGACCCCCACCACGGCTCTAGCTCCCCGCACGCCACCGCCACCGACTCTCCGAGCCGACTGACCGACAGAGGGGAGGAGGAAGAGGGGGAGGAGGAGGAGCGGGAGCTGGGGAGCTGGGGGGTGGTCTGACGTCACGGGCAGCGCAGGCAGCGAGAGGGGGCGGGGGTGCAGGAGGGCGGCGCGGTGGGAAGCGGGGCGGAGGCGTGGAAAAGAGGGGTGCCGGGAGCGGGTGCCGGGGGGAGGGGGGCGCCTAGGAGGCAGGGGCAGGGGAGGGGAGGAGGCGGCCAGGGAGCGGGGTGGGCGGAAGGGGCCGGGACGCTGGAGCCGCGACGGAGAAGAGTGGGATGCAGGGGGAAAGGGGCTGGCGCCCGAGCATCTGAAATGCAGGCGTGAACAGACGGGGGAGAGGACGGGGATGAGGAGGAAGAGGGTGATTGGAAGGATTCTGGCGACTGACAGTTGGGGCAGGGAGAAGGGGGATGGCGTTCAGGGGAGTGACGGGAACAGAGGAAGGGAACACGGGGCTGGGCAGATGAGAGATGCGGGAATGGTGATAAAAGAGAAAGGACAGTGGTTAGGGAAACCGGCGCTGAGGGAGGGAGGACGCGCGGGGTCTGGTTAGGGATGGGTACGGGATGTACTGGGCGGATGCAGAGTCCTTTTCTGAAATCCTAGGAAAGGGGCAGGCAGGGAAAGGCTCCCTAGAAGGGCCAAGGAAGCCCTCGGGTTAGAGGGAGAAGTGCGGGGGGTCTCCCAGCATCCTGCCGCCCCCTGCCGGGCTCTGCCTGGAGGAGCCGCGGGCCCGGGAGGAGGCGGAGCGGAGGGCAGGTGCAGCCAAGCTGGGAGAAGGGAGGGACCACAGCTTCGCTGGGGCAAAAAAAGAGACTGAAGGCAGAACCGGGTAGGGCCAGAAAGGTAAGTCGCAAACTGGGGTGGGTATGGGATGGTGGGAAAAGGGAAAGGTCCCGTAGCCCCAGAACAGAATCCCTGGGTAAAGAGTCGGGGATAAGGAAACTGCAGCGCACGCAATAGGGTTTCAGATCTCACCTGAGTGCGGTGTTCGGTTCACTGGCAGCAGGAAAGACGGGGATCAGAGAAGAGTTACCACTGGCGCCCATCTTCCCTGTCCTGGTCCCCAGCCCCCGCCCACACCTGTCAGGGGGGAGAGCAGATGCCTGCCTGCATTTCTGAGGGGAAAGATGCCTGGGGTAAGAGCAAGTGCCTTAGGGTCAGGATTTGTTGGTTTTCTTTCAGTTTTCAAAGGACAACAGAATTTGAGACAAGAGTGCCAACATTTAAGACATGGGCAGATCCTAGTTTTGTGAAGCCTAAATACTATCAAAATATAAGAGTTTTCTCATATTAAAACTACAATTGGTTTTAAGTGATCGCTATATCTCACTTTTGCTTTTTGCCTTTTCTCAAAAACTTATGAACACATAAATACATGATTTGAGCCTCTATAAATTGTAGAACAGGAGAAGCCTGTATAAGAGAGAAACCTCAGACCTTAAATTGCACTAACTTGGGGCTGGAGCAATAGCACAGCGGGTAGGGCGTTTGCCTTGCGCGCAGCTGACCTAGGTTCGATTCCCAGCATCCCAAGCACCACCAGGAGTAATTCCTGAGTGCATGAACCAGGAGTAACTCCTGTGCATCGCTGGGTGTGACCCAAAAATAAAAGCAAAAAAAAAAATTCACTAACTTCATATTAAACCCATCTAGGAATGGGAGTTGCAGTTTCCAGAATGAAATGATAAACTAAAAGTAGAATAATTAAGGAGATTCGAGTCCAAGGATTCTGAAAGAATTTACAAGTTCCAAAGACTGTAGAGGGAGAATCTGGGTGGCCATAACAGGAAAAGGTTTGCAAGACTAGATAGAAGAAAAGGTAAGTGATACAGTGTCCTTTGTGGAATGATGGCGGCTGTCTGGGAGGTACAGGGGGAAAAAAGAAACTCTCCTCTCAGCACTCCATCTTTAGGTAGTCCTTAATGCTCTTAAAATTCTGCTTCCAATTTTAAGTCTTCTTACCCTGACTTTTCCACCAGATATTCTTTCCAATCTTTTTGTGTGGGGAGGTGAAAGGAACTGGAAATCAAACCTAGGCTTTGAACTTTCAGGACAAGTGCTCTACCTCTGAGCTATATCTGCAACTCTACTCTTTCCAATCTTGTCCATTTTCTAATGTAACATTTATTTTTGAGACTTTATGATACCTCAACTATTTAATGGATGGAAAAGGATTTATTCTAAAAGACATTAATAATGCATAGAAAGTTCTGAATTTAGAAAATATGTCTAGCTGGGGGAAAATGGTGTTTTAAGCTTTAAGGGTAATGAAGGGTGATCTTCATAATGAAAAAAAGAGAAATGTGAGACCCAAGAATTGGAAGTATGGAGATGATATAAAAAAAAGGGGGGGCGGAATGTATAGGAAGGAAACCTCTAGTGTCGCTAAAGAGGGACCTGGGGACTACAGGAGGAGGTTTGAGGCAAGTGGCCGGAGGAAAAGGGTTGGGTTTTCATCTCTGTCTCCCCAATGCCCCACATCTGTGTAACACCCAACCCTTTCCCACCTTCCAGTCCCGCCCCTCCCCCATCCTCTCACAAGCGTCCTCAGCAGCTGCATGCAGGCAGCTGTTCCCCTCACCCTGGCAGTGGGGCTTTGGGGTGCTCCACTGGCCCTGACTACAGATGCTCCGGGAGCTGCCCACCAGATGAAAGTCGGGGTCACACCGGAAATCCACCCGGGCTCCATCCAGAGCGGGGAGGTCCCCACCCGTCAGGAAAACCTTCCCATTTTCCAGGGTCAAATAAGACTTGGAGCAGATTCGGACTGTGGAGAGACAGAAAATAAAATGAGAAGTGAGTTGGGGAAAGGTCCTTAAGATAGCAGGGGGCCCCAATTTGGGTTTGGGTCCCTAAACTTACTATTCTACAGGAAATCAGATATTTGAGAAAAAAAAAAAAAAGACTGTCAGCTTTCCATGCCTTCCTCAACCCTATAATTATCCACACATTCCCAGAAGAAAGAAGGAAGAAGCATTTGCACTGTAGGAACCCAAGATGGAGCTATAAGCACATAAAATGGAATCTCTTCAAAGTGAGCTCTAGTGGGCGGTTCGCTGACTTTCAGATGTGTGGATGAATGTAACTTTAGATACACAGTCAGATTTGCCTTTCTTATTATAGAAAGGAAAGGGTACAGTGAGGTGGCTTATGGTAATGTTAAATTTGGTTTTATTTCTTAGAAGATAGGTATTTGAAAGTGTGGTTAAACTATTTTAGTTCTGGATTTTTGTTTGTCTTTCGGTAAAGCTGCGCAAACTATCCTCAAAGAGACCAACTCATAAAAACAAATACTGAAGGTATTTTATCAAATGCTCAGTGGCCTAATTATGGGAGCATAAAATTAAATGTGCAGGCTGCTACCTTTACGGGCTCTAACTGTACATATTGCAGTCCCTCTTCCTGAGTGGTTCAAGAAACAGATCTGTGAATCTAGTTCCCGTGGATGTCAAGTGCAAACTATTAAATTTAAGGCAGAAAGAAGAGTGGTCTTGAAGAGGGGAAGAGATTTACAGGTTACTCACCACAGCGGCTGGGTGTGTCCATGTCAGTCCAGGAACCGTTGGCAAGGCACTTACGGACTTTAGGGCCCACCACCTCGCGCTCCCCCCTGCACACATATTCAATCTCATAGTCCACCGGCAGGAAGTTGATAGCCTTCACCTGGTCTCGAGTCAGGCCCCGGTACCTGATGCCCCCTTCCCATGGCGGGTGTATAATCTGGCAACCTAAGGGATGAGTCCATGGAGGCAGAAAGGGGGTAGGGTTGGAGAAAGGGATGGGGGGAGGAAAGACAGAGTCAGCAGCAGGAAGCAGTGGCTTAGGGTGTGGTCAGTGGGCAGGTGGAAGGGGGTGGGAGAGACGAGAAACCTTGGACAGGAAGAAGTCCCCAAGGCTACGTGGCAGAGAATAATGAGTCAGGAGTAAGGCTCGAGAGAGACCCCATAGGGGGCGAGTTCTGGGCGGGGAGAATAGAGAAAAGTACAATCTGGCTGGGGTATAATATGCAAGCGAACTTGCTAAGGAAAGCTAAAGGAGGGTGTCAGAGTTGCATTAGGGTGGAGTGTATGGGGAAGGGGGTCTTAGATGCCTCCTGGGCAGTCAAGTGGAAACAAGGTAACTGAGGTAGTAACGTGGCCCGAGGAGAGAAGGGTGCGGTCAAAGAAATATTACGGAGTGTGAGAAAGGTGGCCTGGTGTAGTGGTGTGGGACAAAGAAACACGGAAGGGGTGCTAGGAAACGGTACGGGGTGACAGGCAAGAGGTCAGGAGCAGCAATGTGGGGCTGAGCAGACTGGGCTGCCAGGCCGGGCGGCTGTGCAGTGCTCACAGGATGGCAGTCATGAGAGCGAGGACAGAGGAGGTGCAAAGAAAAGAGGAAAGGGGTGGAGGAGTGCCCAGGGCAGCGGGAAGAGGGTGCACCTTCTGAGGTGGCGTTGGGGGTCTGCGCCCCACCCGAGCCCGGGGGGCGGAGGAAGAGCGGCGCCAACAGCAGCAGCAGCAGCAGCATCTGAGTGAGAGGCAGCCGTGAGGACCGGACCCAGCCCCGCCGGGGCGGCGCGGCCCGGCCTCCCCCAGCCACGGCCGCCCGGGTTCCGACCTGGCCCGGCCGGGGTACGGGCTGAGCGCCCCGCGGAGGAGGCGGGGGCGGAGCCGGCGTGGGGTGGGGGAGAGGAGGAGAGAGACTGTCCCCACCCTCCTCCTGCTCCCTCGGCCCCGCCACCCTCCCGGGACTCCACCTCTCCCCGCCTCCTCTTCCCCCGGCCCCGGAGAGCCCGGCTTGCCCACGCTCGAGGACCGGACCCCTTGCCCGCGGCGCCTTGTCTCCTCCGGCCCGGTGGGCCCGGCCCGGCCTCCCCCCCCGCCGCCTCGCTCCGAGCCCCGCATCCCCCCGCCCGGGCTCTTACCTCGGCGCTCCGGCCCAGATCCCCGGCGCTCCCGGGCCGCAAGGCCCCAGGCCAGGCCGCTCCTCCCTGCTCCCCCCTCCTCCTCCTCCACCTTTCCCGTCCTCCCTTCCCTCCTCCCGTCGAATCCGGACTCCAGCCCAGCCAGGGTCTCTCCCTCCTCTCTCAGATCCCCAAACCCCACCCCCGTCTCTCCTTCCCCGGGTGGCTGCAGCCACAAGCGCGGGGAGTAGGGAGGGAAGGAGGCGGCGCCGGGCACCGGGGAAAGCTCCCGGGCGGAGGGAAGGAGGAGGGTGCGGGGAGGGGTGCGGGGGGGGGGATGATAAGGGGAGACCGGGAGAGGACACCTCCCACAGCCCCAGCCCCGAGAGCCGCCCGGATCCCAGCCCCGCCTTGGACCGCCCACAGCGTCGGGGCGAGGGAGGCGGCCGAGAGGAGGGGGATGGCGAGGTGAGGGATGGGTGCGGGCCCGCGGGAAGGACAGGTCGCGGGGATGCGGGCCCGGGACCCGAGCCAGAGGCTGCGCTGAGACCGGGGTTCCGGGAGCAGGTGGAGCAAGGTGGTTACACGGAGAAACACAAGGGCAGCTCTGGATCGCAATGTGGGGCAGAGGCTGGCTGGAGCCCGGTGCAAGGGCAGGTGGCAGAAAAAGGAGAAGCCAGGGTCAGGCGAGGGAGGGGCCCCGAGGAGAGCGGGTGAGGACCGGAAGCACCTAAAATGCATCCAGGTTGGGTGGGGAAGAGAACTGGGAGCCCAGCGCGAGCTACTCTGTGCAGCGTAAAGCATTGCCGTCCTCTGCTCCTGGAAGGAGTATCGAGGGAGGCATCCAGGAGAGACAATGAGGCAGGGGAGCGGGAATACTTCCAAGTCAACGGGAGCTAACGTTATTTGCTATAGCGAACGGGGCCTAGAAATCTATTTCTTAACTTCGGGAGGATGGAAGCTATAAAAATGCATTGGGAAGTGTGGGTCTTTTGACTGTTTCAGAGGTTCCTCGTGGTGGAAGTGTGTATGTGTGTGTGTGAGAGAGAATGTGTGTGTGAGTGTGTGTGTATGTGTGTGAGTGTGTGTGTGTGTGTGTGTGTATTGATGAGTGGGTGGGTGAGTGGTGGTGGTGGTGTTACTGGAAGTTTGGACTACTAGAGAACATTGGCTTTGGGGAAGAGGTGACTATTATAAAACTGATTAGAACTAAGGTCGTCAATCATTAACCCTTTTATAACAAACATTTTTTAGTGGCTCTGCTGAACTGGAATGCATAAATAATATGACCTACCTACACACACTTTAAAAACATGATTCCCTATCCATAGCATAAAGGGAAAAATGAAAAAACAAAGGGATTGTAGTAAAATAACAAAAATAGTATTTTGACATGAGTTTTGAGGCCTGACTTATACTGTAGGCAGATGCTTGCACTTACCCATAAAATCTTGGGAATAGAACTACTACAAACACAGGCTGATACAGGTGCTGAGTTGGTGACTCAACTGCTTTCAGCATGTTGCCATCAATGAGTGACTTAATGAAATATTCTACAACTCTCAGTAACAAAATCAATCTTTCGTACATTTATGAAGAGCTGTAATTGTATTCCTAGAAAGTTCATTATATATTAAAACCACTTCTTTAGAAGAAAAAAAACTATTAAATTCTAGGCTCAGATAATTAAATACAGAATTTTCACCTACATGAATGTCCTAAGGGACAATGTGAGAACCTGGATGAGAGACAATTTTTTTTTGGGTCACCCGGCAATGCTCAGGAATTACTCCTGGCTCTGCACTCAGGAATTGCTCCTGGTGGTGCTGGGGGACTTACGAGATGCCAGGAATTGAACCCAGGTCAGCCACATGCAAGGCAAATGCTCTACCCGCTGTACTATCACTCTGATTTTTTTTTAATATCACTCTGATCTTGAGAGACAACTCTTCATTATACAGGCTATGCTTTGAAGAATCGTATTTACATGCTATGTGCTTAAATATCAATAGTAGCCCCACCACCACCATCATTGCACTATCAAAACATAAAAATAATAAAGCTAACAATTTTTCAGAATGTTCCATAGGGAATGGAGAGTCATTGAGATGGAAAATAGAAGAGCATGAAAGGGTATGGTAGTAAGGAGGACTCTTTGTCACTCAAAACAATAATTACCCCTCATCTGAATGGGCTGCACTCTCAGCAGGGCAGAATCAAAAGTTATAGATATGTGGGTCAGGGATGTGACTCAGGTGTCAGAGCTCATACCTAGCACATGCGAGACACTGCATTCAATCCCTAGCACTTCCTCTTTCCTTAACATGGCTCCTTGGAGTTGGAGCGATAGCACAGCAGGTAGGCATTTGCCTTGCATGCAGCCAACCTGGGTTCGATTCCCAGCATCCCATACGGTCCCCCGAGCACTGCCAGGAGTAATTCCTGCGTGCAGAGACAGGAGTAACCCCTGTGCATCCCCTGTGCATCACTGGGTGTGACCCAAAAAGAAAAAAAAATGGCTCCTGGTGTTATTATTGCTATTATTGTGCTCTTCCTACACACACACACACACACACACACACACATAACAAAAACAAAAAACTTGCGGGTATCAACTAAAATAAAATTATTAACACCAGGATAATATCATATGGATGAGAAGTTTCCCAGACCACTTTGGCAAGAAGAGTTTCCTGGTTCTGTGCATGCTCTGCAGGCTAGTTCAGCTGTCTGGCCAGGTGAACAGGCATGGCTATGTGCCCAGGAATACTCCAAACCCAGCTGGGGCTTTCTACAGGGGGACATCTGAGTAGACACTCTCTCCAGATAAGAAAAACAAGGGTTTTTTTTACTGGCAACATGTCCCTAAAGTGCTAGCTAACATTAGGGAAAGGGTTTATTAATTGGGACTGAAGAGATACTAGTTGGGACTGCAAGGCATTTGCCTTGCACATGACTGACCCAGATTTAATCACTAGCATACCCATGTAGTCGCCTGATCTCCCCCAGGAATGATCCCTAGGTGCAGAACCCAGAGTAAGCCCTGAGCACCTCTGGGTGTGTCCCAAAGCAATAGCAAGAAAATAGTTTATAAATCTACAAAATTTCAAAATAATGTCAATAACATTCACTGTCATACTATTGGTCAGAAACTAAAAAAGCCTGAAAGTTCAAATTAGAGTATTAATTTAGTAGAGTGGAATGTATCCACTCAAAGGAATGTTTATTAAAGCATGTTTGTTGTTGTTTTACTCTAATGGCCTTGATGTGGGGAAAATGAGAGTTTGAGAGGTAAAGAATAGAAAATAAAAAATCTTTTGTTTGTTTTTTGGGTCACACCCACTGGTACTCCAGGCTTATTCCTGAATCTGTGTGCTCAGGTATCACTACTGGTGGTGTCTGGGGACCATATAGGATGCCGATATTGAACCTGAGCTAGCTGGGTGCAACCTTCTGTCCTATCTCTATGGCCCTCAAAATTTGTATAATTGTAACAAATATTCAGTCGGTTTTCTGGATTTACAGGTTCCATATCCTCAGATTCAACTTATTTGGAAAGGAAAATGTGTACTATGTAGTTCAACCTAAAATGATTGTGTCTGAACTGAACACTGTTCAGACTTTTTGCTTGCCATTATTCTTTAAACAATACAATATTTATACACAACAACTATTTACGTACTATTTACATGTATTATGTATTGTAATTTAAACTATACAGGAATCAATGTGTATGTGTGTATAGATTACTTATTATAAATATAGTACCATTTTACATAAAGGACTTGAATATCCACAGATTTGGAGTTTGTTTGTTTTGTTTTGTTGGTTTCTAGGCCACACGAAGCGGTAGTCAGGGTTTACTCCTGGCTTTGCATTCAGGAATCCCTGGTGCTCAGGGATGCTGGGGATCAAACCCGGGTAGGCTGCCTGCAAGGCAAGTGCTTTACCTGCTATACAATTTCTCCAGCCTTCATCTTGGGGGTGTTTTTCTTTCTAACTGAAGCGACATTGTTTTTATTTAACAAAATTTCAAGGGGAGTAATACACTTTGCATGTAGGTGCCCCAAATCCAATCCCCAACACTCATATGATCCCCCAAGCACCTCCAGGAGCAACTACCAAGCACCGTGCTGAATGTAACACTTGAGCACTCCTGGTTATGGCCAAAATAAAAAACAACAAAATAAATTAGTAAACTGAAAAAAGTCCAGAGGGATAACTCAAAGGGCTGATCACATGCTTTTCATACAGAAGGTGCAGGTTTAATTCCTGACATTACATGGTCCCTAGAACATTCCCAGGGAAAAAAAACCCTAAATCCCAAGCAAAGAACCACTGGATATGACTCCCTCCCCACAAAAATGGAAAGAATATGCATTAAAATGCTAGCAGTGAATGCCTCTGGAGTCATAAGTTAACTTTTTGTATTTGTTCTTTAACTTTAGTTCAAAGATTTTTAAGTATTATCTTTATAAACAGTGTTTTTTGTTTGTATTTCTTTGTTGTTGTTTTAATGTTAACCTTCCTGGGCCAGAGATATAGTACAGGAGATAAAGTACTTACTTTCCTTGCATGCAGACAACCCTACTTTAATTCCCAGTACTGCATAAGGTCCTCTGCATAACTCCAGGGGTCTCTCCTGAATACAGAGCCAGGAATAGCCCCTCAGCACCACAGAGTGTAGCTCAAAATCTTGTCTTTCACCCACAAAAAGTGAATCTTACTGAATTGAAACAGTATAGCTAAAAATATCTTTTTAATTAAAACAGAGGCACTTGAGGGTATGAACAGATGATTTAGTTGATTATATACTCACCTAACAAGCCACTCATCTTTTTCTACTAGTAGTCACAACTTCCTCCTTTCACACCTTTTCAACTTCTAGATTCCTAGCCCACATTCCTTAGATCATTTGCTGACCTTCTTCTCCCACTACCGAAGTGGCTGTTCTAACCTCACCTATTCTACTACCAATACTGTAGCACTGTAGCACTGTACTCCGGTTGTTCATCGATTTGCTAGAGCGGGCCCAGTAACGTCTCCATTGTGAGACTTGTTACTGTGTTTGGCATATTGAATATGTCACGAGTAGCTTGCCAGGCTTTGCCGTGGGGGCAAGATACTCTCGGTGGCTTGCTGGGCTCTCTGAGAGGGGCGGAGGAATCAAACCCGGCTCGGCCAAGCAAGGAAAATGCCCTAGCGCTGTGCTATCGCTCCAGCCCAATACAATTCTTTCTTTTCTGTTCTTTCTTTTCTTTCTTTTCAAACAAAGAACTCTCCTCTGGAAAGTTTCCTGAATTTGACCCTATCCTTCTTCCTTTATTCCTGTATCCAGATCCTGTTACTCTAGGTCAAGTATGTACTCTCTCATCTGGAGACCTGAATGTAGCATTTAAATCTTAGAAATACGGAATGCAAAAACATTGGAGCTGGAAAGGTAATACAGCAGGTAGAGTTGCACGTGGCCAACCTGGTTTTGATCCCTGGCACCCCATATGGCTCCTTGAGCTCA